AAAATAAGTTCAGATTTAACATTAACTAAAAAAAAATTTTTTTTAGAATTTCCTCCCTTTCTACTGCAAAGCTCCCATATTTTAAAAAGTTATTATATAATATCTTTATTTATACTATAATATATACAGTAGTAATTAATAAATATTTAGTAACAAATTATACTAACAAAATCATTAAATAATAAATGCCTGATAATTTTTTATATTAAAATCAACTTTATTTATTTTAATATATAGTAAACTATAAAGAGATTAATATTATTAGAAAGATTTCTTTTAGGTATTATTAAAATTTCTTATTCAAAAAAATTAAAAATATATATGATATAAAAAATACATTAAATAATAATAGTAATATAACATAATAATTAAAATTTGCGTCTATATTGAAAATCTGATTCATAAAGAATTAAAATATTTGACTAATGGTATAAAAGGTTTAATAAGAATTATTTAAGGAAATTAAAGATATAAACCTTATTTATGGATGTTACTGTTGAGTAATTAAACAGAAATGAAACAATTATATTATATGATAGTTGTAATTTTGGCCAACGGTTAAACGTTGAATTTCTTTTGACATTATATACAATGTTATAATAATTCCAGTATAAATTAATGCAATATAAAATAATAATAAATTTTAATAAATTCTAATGGTAAATAGTTCTTTCAAGGTAAGTAAATTTGTAATTGATAATTTGTTTAACAATTGATTATACTAATGAATGACTAACTAATGCAATAAATGATAAGAGAATAAAAATTACCGAATTAACATATTCCAGTATCTATACACTAAATTATATTGTACAAATTTCAATTGAATACTCTGCTCGCTAATATGAAACCATTATGGCTTTTCATATATTACGATATGATTTTGGCGCTACAAATCTCCAAAAATTCATAATACATCGCATATCTGAATTATATTGATAAAATCCAACTCGTGCTATTTGGTAGTTGGATATTTTCAACAAACTTCTATCTAGATTGACAGGACCTCGTTCAATTAATGATGTATGTTCATCTCACTAAGACGAGACGTACCAGTCCTAGTTATTCCAGAAAATTAGATCAACTTAACAAATAATCGCTTTATGGTATTAATAATATAGGGATTAATCAAAAATCACATTGTATATTCCTTTTTCTTCTAAAAAAAAAAAAAAAATATTACACTAGTATTTATGATAGCTGAAAATATTATTGAAAAATATATATATATATGTATAAACACATTTGTTATGGTAATTACAGTGCATTTATCAAGATGTAAAAAAAGAAGGGTGATGTGGAATGAAATATAATATAGACGCAAAGAAAAAAATTAAAGAAAAATCAAACAAACAATACATGTCCTTAAATGCTAGTATGAAACCTAACGTCCACCAAGACCTCCTCTCCTCTCAATTTCTTCCAAAGTCATCATTCCACGTTGCTGCATATTTGTGTTATTTGGAATTCCTAAATCAAAAAAAAGAAGATAAATATAAATATGTATTTTTCTCTTTTAAAAAAAAAAGGTTGATTTTAAAATTTAAAAATATAGTACCGGGTATGGTATGTGGCGCAATTGCATTGTTAACAAGATTTGGAATAAATTGTGCATATCCATGCATATTCGCGAAAAGAGCCTCCGTACCAGGAGGTAACAATCCAGGATGATGATGTACAGAAATATGTTGTGGTGGTATTGGGGGAGGGCCAGAAAATTGAAGTTGCTGTGGATAACGATCATGTTGATAACCAAATGGCATTTGAGGGGGCATTGAAGATGTCATTGGAGGCTGTTGGAATTGGGGGTGAATTTGTTGAGGAACATTGCGTGGAGGTTGTGGTATCATATTAAACAATTGATCCACGGGTATGTTGCGACCGACGGGCAGAGAAAATTCTTGTCGATGATGAGAATGTTGAGGATTATTTTGTCCATTGGAATAAGGTGGAACTATATTATGATACTGTGAAGGGTTTTGACTTTGAGAAATGATAGGAGAACGAGGGGATGATGTTTTATAAACCGATGCGTGAAGATCAGGAATAATTGCCGAAGATTGTGGCGAATGTGAAAAGTTGGAAATATTTGGTTTTGGATTGAATTTCAACGCCGGTGAAGATGCAGTTGATGATTCTCTGGAACTATTATCTGACCTTGAGCTCAATTGACGATAAACAGAAGTTGGAACATTTCCTCCAAAAAGCATATTGATCTTCTTAACTGAATCATTTGGAGCTAACTCAGAAATACCAAGATGTCGATTAGAAATATCAACCTTTGGTGGTGGATGATTAGTTTTGTTAATTGAAGTTGGTTTTTGAGCACTGATTATAGACGGATCATTGAAAGGTAATCCTGAATTTGTAATCGCCGAATGTTGAAATTGTACAGATTGATGTGAAGAAGATATTGGCGTGTTATGTGACAGCTGAATTGGTAAATCTGAAGACGACTAAAATTTTTTAATTATCAAGTTAGTTATAAATGAATAAAAATAAAAATAATAAATAACGCATGAGGTAAAAATAACGTACGGGGCCTTTCTTTAAGGCTGCATATATTTTAAACATAGCGGCTTCGTCTTCAGAATTTCGTTCCTTTGGCTCATGTTTCGAAGGTGGCTTGGCTCCTAAAGATTGTAAAACCTCCTCTTCAGTGAGCATTCCAGGAAGGATCCGTATTCCTTCACTTGGTCCAATATGGGGAGAAATAGATGCTGTAGTAGATGGTGTGGCGACTTGACTTTGAAATAGAGTATCAAGACTAATTGGACCAGGTTTCAACAAATCGTTTGATACCGGAAGATTCTGAGGAGATACTTGAGATACTTGAAATGTGGATGGTCTCTCCATATGGTCATTATCTTGAAAAATTTCCTCGGTATTATGAGAGAAAAATCTGGCAAAGCGAGATGTCCCTTGCTCTCGAGGAATTGTTGTCTCTATATGCGATCCAGTTCCGGTTTTAGGTCCATTGTCTTCGGTCATGGCAAGTTCATGCTGAAAAAGAAATTTATTAAAAGCCGATGAACCTGAGTGTTCCTTTACGTTCAACTCCATTCCACCAGGGCCAAATAGTTGGTCCACATCAGCCAAATTTAATGATGGTGAAGAATCTAAATATCAAAAAAAAAATCCTCAAATGTTGTAGTTAATCCCATAAATAAATGACAAGAATTACACAATTGCGAATTCACATTCATAGTGTAAATCTAGATAATTACCATCGAAATTCGGTGGGTTTTTTTCCTTCGATCCATTCTGTACAATTTCTGCAGCTTTATTATTTGAAACGTTATTAGCTTCTTCGGTCGTCACGGTTTTATTTCCTGGCCTCCATGATATACTACTATCGGCTCGCGAAATACTCCGCGCTCGACCCTTTTCTGATGTTTCTCTTCGTTCTTTAGTCTTTTCCTTCTCATTACGTTCTCGTTGTTCTCTATCTTTTTCTTTCATCTGTACCTTCCAGGCTTGAAGATCAAATATAGTTTTATCACTAGTTTCACCGTTATCAAAGTGGTTTGTATCTGCATCAGTCTGCGGATTATAATTCATCCATTCAGGAGTTTCCCTATCATCCACATGCTGATATCTTGAAGTATTTCTTCCAGAATGTTCTTTTCCTCCAATGCCTAAAAATGGTTAGAAAGTATTAAATAAGACACATAAGCTTTAATGGAAATAATTGTCTTTACCTTCCCGGCGATTATTTCTACTTGTATCATGAGACCGCATATTTCCCAATCCACGACCATGTATTCCGTGAGTAGGTCCAGCTGATTCTTTCGTTGTCTTTTCTGTCAAAGTACGGTGTTCTCGTAATGCCTCCCTACCAATGAAACCGCGGCCACCAGATGGTCCCCGTGGTGCTCGTGGTTCAGTGTCTTTTCCAGTTCGCATATATGAAAGGTCTTCAACCTACAATACAATACCAAGCAAGTTGATTCAATATTGAAATGCCATTCTAATAATCTTAAGCCAATATGGCACTCACTTGACGTTGTCGCATTCCATCTGATCTACCGGTCCTTGGTGGTGCCGTTTTTTCTTCCACAATTTTTAATCCTCCGACTGATGATGAAGCAAAGTTCCATTTGGGTGGACCAAGAACAATTTTATCTATAATTAAGTATATTAAAAAAAAATATTACATAAATTTTTAAGAAATAGAAATATAATTAAATTTTCGTACCTGACGGCTTTGGAGATGTCGGTGCAGATCCATTAGGACTTTTTGAAACTCCTAGTAAAGGACTCTTTGGAATCCCTAATGAATCATCTTTTGATTTATTTAACTCTGATCCAAGCGCATTACTATTTTTACTAAAGTAAATAAGGAATTTGTCAAAATATTAATAATATTTTATAAGTAATACTATGATTTAGATTACCTCTTTTCGGTTTCCACAGCACCATCGACACCAATTTTCTTTTCTTTCTTTGTTTGTTCCCTATAAAAGGGGCGAATTTGAATTAATATAAGAAACTAAAAACGGTTTTAAAATATCTATAAATAATGAATAATTGTATCTTAAAGTTACGATTAACTCATTAAAAGTATATAAACCTTACCCAAACCAAACACTGATTGGAGGTAAAGCATCTGGCTTCTTTACAAGTGGACTATCGCGTAAGGCCAGTAACTGTTCTTTTGTATAGCGTAATACGGACAATGTCTCTTTTTTCTTTTTTTCCACTGCTTCATTTTTCGCGCCATCAGGATCTTTTTTGTTATCTAATTCTCCTTCAGGCAACTGGATATTTGTGTCTGATTTTGATGAATCAGCAGATGTTTGATAACTGGACCCATTTGAATCAAGTTTACAGTCTTCAACGTCAGGCATCTGAAATTCCCCAGCAATAGAAAAATTATAGGAAAGGAATATTTAATTTACGATAAGCCAAATCGTTTAAATTGTTTATTTTCCTGTCACCGTCACAGACGATTTTGACAGATCTTTTAGATTATTTAAGTGATTTAAGTTTTGTAAAGTATATCTTAAAAAGTTATAATTTTGAAAGTATGAGTCCAAATGATTTGAATTTGTATTTGCAAAATAAAATTCGGTATTCAAGTTAAACGTGCCTAATAATAACGTCACAAGATTTATTATATTAAACGTGACTCCAAATCACTTGAACAAAAAAATATTATGTAATCTATAAACGTAATAGTTTTATGAATCGGGCATGTTTATCTTTTTTTTTTGACGATTTGGTGTTCTTTTTATTTTTATTTTTATATATTTTTATTTATTATATATATTTGTGTGTTTTGCCTTTATGAAAATAATATTTATGTATAGTTGAATTGAAACAGGAATGCGACGTGGTATTCTTTTGCCGGTGCCGGAAAAAAAAAAAAAAAAAGAAAAAATCAAATTCATAAAGGCATCCGTATACCAAGAATTTCGTTCCACGGCACACCTGTTATATGGTAGCAATTTTATTCGAAAGTTACTGGGCCTTGCGATTGAGAGTTTATCCTATAACTACAGTCAACAAAAGATACAATAAAAACCAAAAGGACAAAATGAAGTGAAATAAAAAAAAAATGAAATGAAGTATAAAAAAAAGTAACTTCTCTTGCAACCCTTTGTGTATGTATGAATGATATCATAATGATAGCTTCGCGCAGTGGTAATTTTCATATAAACTACTGTATAAAGAATAAATTCAACATGCCACACATGAGAAAACGGGTTTACAGTACAATGACACACAAATATGAACAAATTACTCTTGCATCGCCTTCTCAACGGTGCGACCCGGACGCACATAGAATGCAAAGACTTCCCCTTCATATGATGGCAAGTCGTTATTTCCTTCCTATGAAAACACCTAAAAACTATCCACAAATAATAATCGATCAGTCTGATTAAAACTAAAGAAATAAATGAAAATTGTCCGAGTGTAATAAAGTAGGTATCATAAATTTGCGGCTTTAGGAAACCGAACGTTATAAAACATATCGAGAATGAAAACTGCCGAGATTTGATTTCCTCCAAACCATCGGCCATTAAGACCGTTCACTGCAGCCTGAGCGGACGATACACTGTCGAATTTCATGTAAATATCTCCCTTAAAATAATTATACTCATTTAGAATCATTTAAAACAGTCATGTTAAACGAATAAACAAGCATGTTTAGAGATACTTACTGCAGATTCTCTATCAACAGAGATATGAACAACAGGTCCGTATTTTACACATTCACCTTTCACATCTTCCTCGAGCTCTTCAGCCCAGTTTGACTCAGTTTCCCTAAAGGATAATAATAGTAAAATAAGATTTTGGTAATTGCCAATTAAAAAAGTAATAAACCCAAACTTACTCTTCAGGATTGAACATATTTTTTAACAAGACACAACGAGTTGGATTTACTCTAGGTTGAACTGGACGCGGACTACAATTAAAAAAAATTTAAAGCAAATTATTATCCATCACAAGGAAAAAAAAAATAAAAGACATAATATAATGTATGAAGTTACTGACGGTTCTGATTGAACAGGAGTTGCAGCCGGTGCGATTAAATCTGTATCACGCGCTAACTTTTGCATTAATTCTACTCGTGATTGTGCATTGAGAGCTAAACCAGCAACATCTATAACAAATAACATAAAATACTTATTTTATCATGTACATCCTTTTCAAAAAATAAATTCAAAAAAATAAATATATAGAAACACAAACCACCATCATCAAGGTTTAAATTCATGCCGTTGCTTTTGTCAGTAACAAGACCTACTTTTATCTTTTTTTAAAGAATAAAAAAAAATTTTTTTAATTATTAAATTCAAAAAAAACAAAAAATTCATAAATAGAAACTTTTTAAAGGCTTACTGTTCTTCCAGCCAACTCAAATCCGTTCATTTTTTCTAATGCTTGTTTTGCATCCTCCGGATTTTTATATCTGATATAAGGTTTATTAATTAATAAACAAATTCTAAAAACAACACATAAAGGAATTAAAGATTTCTTACTGAATGAAAGCAAAACCTCTCGATCGACCTGTTTCAGGATCTTTATGGAGATTTACAAATTCCAAAGGCCCAAAAGGTTCAAAAACTTGTCTTAAATCGTCTTCTGTCAGATTAAAATGAACTGATCCAACATAAAGTCTGTGATATGCAATATCTGTTGCATGCGAGGCTCTAAATGTAATATAAATTATTTGTTAAAAATCATTTCAAATATAAAATAGCCTTTGCCTAAACTTACGCTTGTTCAGCCAATCTCGCCTGTCGATTTTTTTCCGCTTCGGTTAATTGAACAATAACTGGAATACCTAAAAGTTTTTGTCCGGTCAAAGCCAAAGCTTTAGGAACAGATTCTTCATCATAAAATTCAACATAACCAACCCTTAAAAAAATATTAATATATGTTCATATGAGTGTATTATTATTAAAGGAATATTGTGTTATATTGAATTATATTGAATTATATATACCCTTTTGACCTCCGAGATATTCTATCTGCAATTATTTTGGCATCACGAACTTTTCCAACATTTGCAAAAAAATCGGCAAGTTCTCGAGAACGAAGACGAGCGGCCAGCTGCATAACAAAAACTGTACGTTTGTCACGTTCCTCTTCATCTAAAGGAGGAGTTGGTGACCGTCGGCGTCGCTGACTAAAATAAAAAATATATAAATATATCAATAGAAGTTTAAAATATATTATATTAGTTGTATAAAAGTTTGAAAATACACCTTCGACTGCGACTTCTTCTACGTGGACTACGGCTCCTCTTTCTTTTTTCACGAGAACGAGTTCGACTTCTTCTTCGTCTTTCACGCGACCTGGACTTACTCCGACGCTTTCTATGTACTCGTGATCTAGAGCGTGATCTACGTGAACGACGAGACCTGGAATGTGATCTATGACGATGACTAGAAGTATGTGAAGAACTTCGGTGACGTCGTCGTTCTTCACTGTAAATTAGGGATGTTAAGATATTTATATACTAAAACCTAAAAAGGAGACTTTCTTAGTTTACCTTTTACTATCTTCCTTGTGATGTTTTTCGGTTTTACCGTTAATGTCATCAATTTCCTATGAAAAAGTTGTTAAAATTTTGGAATAATAATGAATAACTGATAATTTGGGAACAAAATTCTACCTGGCCTTTATGAAAAGGTGCCTCTAGCATAGCTTCAACATCAAGATCATCGACCATTTTGTCTATGGTCTTCAATTTTTTAAATTTCTGTGAGCATAATATTGGGTGGCTTATTAATTTATATTAAAATTAGACGACCCGTGTAACAATTCGATTCTCCAATCAAAATTGATTCATATTTTTTTTTTTTCTGATTATGAATTTTATTTATTTAATTAAAGTATTTATTTTATAGTAAAGATGTATAATCTAATCATTTAGATTTTTATTTATATTTAAAATAAAATTATTAAATAAAAAAAATGTGCATTTTTTTTAAGTATCTATCATAACCTTTAAATATAAATAATAATAAATAAGATTAATATTACAATTAATAAATAATATATAAAATAAACTTTGCATAGAAAGATATAATATTTTTAAAAATAATTTTTTTTTGATTTAATATTAAACCTCATATTTAGCTAATAAAATATAATTATGAATATTGTATCTTTCTATTGCAAAGCATCTATTTATTAAAAGTTATAGAGTTTTAGTATTTTTACATTATTTTTTAATCTGTTTTAAAAGCTAATAAATTAAATTAAGATTATATATAATATTATATTAATTTATTTTCACCAGTTAAATGATGTCAAACCGGCAATCATGCTGATTTGAGTATATTTGCCAATTCAGACACTTAATATGTAAAAATAAAGAGCAATCAGCATTTATTACAAATCAGATATAAATCAAGTAATTAACAGATTGGTGTTTATCGTTATTCTTATTGATATTTATTTATACAATTAATTATATAAAAAATAAGCTTTTAGTATTTGTTGCTGAAATAGCTGAACTTAAATGCAAGAATATCGAGACTCTAAGAGCGAATGAAAAATATAATAGGAGGCATAATGCTGAAAATGCTAAACTTAAGACCAGAATCGAGGAGTTGAAGAAAATAATACTAAAGAGAATGATAAGCTTAGAGATTATATCATGAAAGTGGAACAGAATCAGTTACAACATGATTTAAAGGGAAATAATATCTCTAATAATAATTTATTTAACTTCAATTTGAATGTAGACTAAGATTTGCTATGCGAACACTCCTATCATAAAAAGTCATTGCAGGAGAAAAAGATGAATAATTTCTTGAATAAAATGCATAAGTAAAGCATTGGTGAAGATATTATGTAATGCAATAACATCCTCACAATAGATTTGAAAATATTATATAATATAAAGCCCATTAACAGGATTTCTGAAAATTCTGAAAATTGTGAATTATTATGTGATAAAAAACCTATTACTATAAGTAACAGGTTTTTTGAAAATTTAGAATCATTATATTAGAAAGAAATCATTGCCAATCCTCTGAATATCTTTTGTCTGGAGATAGAGACAAATGTAAAGATCATTTCATCAGCTATAAATGATATGAACAAATGAGCTTTAGTCACTGAATTTATACAAGATTTATTACAGAAACTATTGTCACCAGACAGTCAACTTCAAGCTATAAAGTTTTCTTCTTTCAGAACCCTAATATCAGGATCATTAAGCATAAAAAAACTTGTCAATTTCTTCTGCTAAGCAAATAATACAAGGGATAAATCAATCATAAAACATCCTTATCAAATTTTTTATAAGTATTATTATTAAAAGATAATCTTTTTACTCTGTAAGATTCAAATTCAAAAGTAATTTTATTGGCTTATTAAATATTTATATTTTATAATAATAATCAAGCTAAATTCCTATCATTATAAAATTGATGGTTTTTAAATTAGGAAGTACTAAAAAAAGTAATAATAAAGATTATTCCTATTTTATCTAATGATTTTTAAGATGTGTAATTATATCTTTTATTAAAAGTAATTTAAATTCTACTCTCAAAATTTGATATAATATCCAAAAGATAAAGTAATATTAAATAGTCAAGCTTTATCTGATTGTATTTTATTAAGAACTTCATAATATAGTTGCATTAATATTACAAATTTTGAAATTTAAGACCAAAATAATTTATCTATAATAATTTTACAAATATTAAGGACAATAACATATATTACCTAATATTTTAGAGGTGGTGGATAGCAGGAAATCTTAGGTTACACATACTAATATTAATCATGTGATTTAGGTGGCTTAGATAATATATATAATTAACTATTATATTTATAGTTAAATTTATTGTATTATAATTATTATATAACATAAAAAAAATTAGATTATTCTTTATCCGACATGTATTCTCTTAAACTCGTTTCATCAAGAAGAGGATATTTTTGTTATGATGAAAAAAGAGAGAAATTGTCAAGGGTTCTTGAATTTTATTCTTTGGATTTTCCCTTAAATCGTTCATAGCTGGCAGGATGTATAGTTCTTTTATGATTTGTCAAATAAGTAAGAGTTGGAAAGTATTTGTTGCATATAGAACAACAAAGACGTAAATAAGTTATTTGGTCAAGAGATAGGCAATGTGAATCATACCCAGGAATTTTCAAGAGATCGTAATATTCAAGGAGATGTATAGGATTTGTGTAATATCCATCTTTAGATTTTGTAACTAAAGGCAAAAAACCATTATTTAAAGAAGGAAATTCGTGGCTTCTTCTGCACGAAAAGGCCTACAACAACTTGTATTTGTGCAATGTTTAATGTCAAGGAAATATTAACATAAGTTGCAGTGATTTTTGATCTATGACCATAGCATAAAACATTCTTCCTTTTTCTTGTTTCTTTTTGTGTTTTTTTTGTTCTGCTTTTTCTTTATCTGTGTCTTCAAACTCTAGATTTCAAATGGATTAGTAAGTTCTTCAATATATTGTGCATCTACATTTCTTCCAAAAATTAAATCTCGACGTTAAATTTCGTAAAGTGATTCTCCAGCATATCAAAAGTTTTGAATAGCTAACTTTGGATCAATCACTTTGTCTTGTGAATTTAAGTAAGATCCAAAATGATCAATTGGTAGTGTGATACCTACCAATTTTCCAGACAGTATTGCTATTCCCCTTTCAATAGAATTATATTTGGACTGTTCTGAAGCATGTATTCGTATAGTGAGGTAATCTAAATTGAATTTTTGAAAAAGTTGACAATAAGATTTAATGTTTTTTAAATGTCTCAGATTCTCGTCCGGTCCTCCATCTACTAATAATACCCAAATAGGTCGAATTTTTCCATTTTTTTCAACACATAGTTATCTTTAGGATCTAGAGTAAGGCTTTCAAGGTCTTGCATGTGTGTGAGTGAAAATGTACTAAAGGACTATTGATGACGTACAAAAATGGTAAGTTGTCCCATTCGTAAATCATCATTTGATTCATTTGGTTTTATCATAAGATAAACTGATGGAATTAATTTTTGCACATTTCCTAAAAGGAAATCATGATCAGCCACACTAATAGGCTTATGAACTAACTGCAATGTGCGAAATATCTGACCTACAGCAGGTACCCCAAGTCCTATCTTCACCTTATTATCTTGGAAAATAATGACAGAATTTTCAGCAAAGACAGTGGCAAATTGTCTTGCACATTTAACAGATGCAAGACAATAATGACCATCAGGATGGTCCTGTGATTCAGTATGTGAAACTTCAGCTACCGCGACTTATGCTAGATGATAATGTGCTTTTGCGACAATGGAGTTAGATTGGTAAGTCAGCAGATAATTTTTCAACATTGTTCTCGCCATATTAACATTGTAATTCTCTTCAAGGTTTTTGCACAAATTTTCAATGATTCGCATTTTAACCACTTCTTTTGTCGTCTTTCAAATTTGATTGAATCGTGAATGTGATCGTATAAATTTAGATGTTTAAAAATAAGTGGAAAACAGCCAGGCTTATCATGTATTACTACTTCCTGGTTTTCGATAAGTGTTTTTCTTTTCTTTTCTTTATACTTTTGAGTATATTCAGCATTTCTTTTTAACTTAATGATTCTTTCTTTGTTAGATTTGATTTTAGCTCAAAGACTCTTTATTTTTATATACGTATCATGCTGAAATTGAGAATCTGTTGTAATTATACATGAAGTTAAAATGGATCATTTCAGATATTTGAAATGGTCAAAATGGTCGAAATGGTCGAAATCATTTCGACCAGTGAAGGCTAAAGTCACGAAATAGTCGAAATGATATCATATCACATGATTTTCATATTGAGAAAAAACAATAAACAAAAAATATACAATCTCGGTCAATATCGCTTCAATTCGTATGATATAACTACCATTCGATTCCTTGATTCGATTTCTCACCCTCTTTCTCGTTAGATTTTTTCCAAGAATTTTTACTTAAAAAAAGTGCACGTTCAATGGCGGCCGCGGCTTAGCCTGCGAACAAACAAAAAAATCCCACCTTTCAAAAATATTTCTCTCTTTGTTCCCCACACCCCTATCCACATAAAATTTTTTGAAATAGTCTAAACAGTGTTATTTTTTGTTAAAATATTTTTTTCTTCACCTCTTT